GATGGTATCACACCTCGCCAAAAAAATAATATATTTAAAATGTGTATATTTACTAGGGCCCTTAATGAAATAATGAAGCACCATGGGTCTATGCACATTGCTGGTCTGGTGGAGCCAGTCTACCTCTCAGTTCCGCAACAAAAACAAAATAAATCTATTTGCTCAGTTTCTCCAAGAGACAAAACGTTATAAAACACATTTTGATAAATACGTTGATATCCTCCATATTATTATGCAACAGAAACGAAATACAATTTTTAGTTCCTGGAAACACCAAACATTAAAAACATACACCAACTACGTTTACAATCTTTGAAAAAAATTGTAGATGCACTTCTTTAATTATGCAGTTGTACCTATAAGCCAATATGATAATAATTAGAGATTATATCCACTGTCTTAAAAAAAAACTATTCATTGCCCAAACCATAGCTTTACACATTTAGATATTAAGTAATGGTTTGTACATGCTAATAGCTTTAACTTCAGTAAGTGTAAAAGTTGTTGTTTAACGAGTATGAACGATCAATAATACAATAAAAAATAAAAATAAATTATAGAATGAAAATTAACTAATTAAAAAAACAATCGAACAAAGTACACAAAGAAAAGAAAATTATGTGTGTGACCGAAAAGCGTGTACGTGACATTTATATAAATATAGTTGTGCAACGTCATAGTTCTACGGTAATCTTTTTTTTTTTTTTACATAAAGCTTATCAATCACTTCCAAGATAAATATAAATTGTATTTACAAACAGCCTCCATTATTCTCTGTGAGATATAATTAGAATAATTAAACCTCCCATCTATCAATTACATTGTTGTTGAATTTTCAACTTTACAAGTTATCCTTACTTCAAAATATTCATAACTATTCATTGAAACATACAAATTTGTATTTATAGATAACTATATTAGCAATTATTATACACAGACGATCAACCCTAATCGTATCCACCTTTATACTAAAAATCAATTTTTATGTACATTATTTAAGCCATTACAATGCTTTTATTGATATTTTTGTAATTCTTCCATAGCGGATTCACATCGAAGCGTTTATTTCATTGATTTTGGTGATTTTTATTACTTTCAGTTGCACATAGACCTGGGACCTCCCCTACCCTAATATGCTCCGTCCCCGTCGCTTATAACTAAAATAATATTACCGGTGACTACACCGCCGCATGTATAAATACTTAAAAAAATATTGTTTAAATATACCTACACTTTAGAATGAAAATTATATAAGGTATAACGACGTCTTATCGTTTTGATTAAGGAGATAGGTAAAGCTCACCGGTCCAAGCAGCACCGTGAGAACGGTAAATCACTGTGATGTTTGTGGGTAGGTATTTGAACACGTGGGAAAGAGAGACGTGCAATTTCAAATAGGTACAAACTGTATGAACTTTCATTGTTTTGAATTCTAGAACAATAATTATTGAAAGTATTATTTAAACGAGTTACATACGATTGTACCTACGTCAAAGCGGGTTGATATGCATATTATATTATTATTATTATTATTACTATTACACGTCATTTACATTGTGACAAAAAATTATAATATATCTACGTGACGTCGGTGTGTGGGTAAATACGATTGTTTTGTTCAAATAGTTATGTACCAGATAACAGATTATCTAATCGTAGGACGAAAACACACAGTAAACTCTTAACTCATTAACGGTTTGTTTGTTCCACATGAATTTCGTTGTTTGATATTATATTAACGAATTACGAAGACAGCCGAGAGAGTCTTTAGACACCTAACCGAACAAGTTCGTCTCAGCTGTACAATTAGCGCATTTCATTGTGAGGACGGAATGGTCTAATAGATTAGGGCAGCGCAGTAGTCTAGAATTCGGAAAATGGAATTTTCAAAATGGTCTTAGAGAACTAATTTGTTTAAGAGGTTAGGGTAAAAATAAGTTAACTTTAAAAATAAGTTTGCCAGTTTAACTTTAGGTTAACTTGGTACAATGTAGATATAAACACATAATACAAATTTTTCTAAAAAAAATATGGAAGTAGCTTCAAAAATAAATTCGCTTTTTTGGCTTCTGAACCACTGTGCGACGGTGGTTAGGTAAACGCAAAATACATTTCATATTACTGTTATGGGATTATATGAATTTACTTCCTTGGAATAATGTAAGTAATAGTGGCTTATTATAGGTACAGATGAAAGTAACCATTAAATAACTTGTAAATTGTATATGACCACAAATTTTGTAACGAGCAAAAATAAACAAAATATCTGTTCTGTGATCTAGAATAAGATCATCGCTTACACCGTAACGCAGGTAAATTGTAGCCGTCAAGGTATATGATTTTTTTCATTTGTGTTAATATGGAACTTCAGATTATTTCCTTAGTTAACGTGAAAAGGATAACGGTACCCATACCGACCGCAAACCAGAAAAAGAAAATGAATATCGTAACTTTTGTTTTGTCATGATCATCATAAAATGCGCGCGACACTCTCATCTGTGGCTGTCTGACACAGATATTTATTACTTTCCTCTGTAATGCTCCACTGGAAAATACTTCTTCCTAACTTACAATAATGTACAAATGATAAAAATAATGTGGTTGTATTTTAATTTAATTGGTATCGGAGATTTCAAATAGGAAACCACAAAAACAGCAATTAGTTGATACAGCCAGTTGTCAAATAATGAAGTAATAAAACTATATACCTATTTTAATAACTATCTAAAAAATAACGTAATTACAAATAGTAAATACAAAAGCAATAAAACGTACTGGAATTATCCACCATTTTTAAAGAAAAGTATTGCAGTTATAACTAAACAAAACATCCTAATACGACCCAAGACATTTTCTTAGCTTTCTAAGAGGATAGATGGAAAAAAATGTTATAGGAACTTTACAAAACATGTTTAGATAAAAATGGTAGACTGTGTATAGAACGTGCAACATTTCCTTAAAGTTAAATAGTAATCTGATGTTTACCTTCTATGTGGTTAGGTTAACAAAAAAAAGTTAAGACTAATGCACCCTAACTTAAAAACACATTTCCTCAACAGCAAAACATTTAAATATTGCACAAATATTGTTTTAAGCATTTTAAAAATAGTTTTGCCCATTAAATAAATGTTTTAAAAACGGAATTAAAAATAATAGAAATATATCCAATTATATGACAGTATATTAATTTTATTGAAACAGCTTTTTTTAACAACATTATAATATAAACATTTTATCAATGGCAAAAAATACTTTTAAAATGTTAAACAATACTATTGAAAATATTTTGGAAACATTTAAATTGAAATGACGTAGGTAAGATCATATTTAATTGATTTTGTTTTATTTGTTTTTTTAACGTTTAAAACAGATTCTTCAAATCGGGTAAGTTGAACATTTTTTTTTTAAACATACATATTACATCATTATGAGAAGAAAACTGATCTTATTAAAAAATACATTTCAACTTTCTCGGTATTGTGTCTATAAATTTTGTTTTCCTTGTACCTACACATATTTTATAGATACCTACAATTTTGTTTAAGCTATATAATAATAACGATAATGGATATTGAATAATGAGTATGGTAATTTTTAAATGTTTAATAATTTAAATACGTTAAATATTCCATAACTAATAACTGGTTTATACGAAAATCGCTCATTTCAAAATTAAAGTACTGTATATTTAGAGTTTTAACGACTTTGAGTGCATCTAAAGATATGTTTTACAAGGGGATAAAGTGATGTGCCACCCTAATAAGCAGTGTTTGGAAAGAATGCATTAATTGAACTTAATTCCCTTTTAAAGAAATGCAATTATAAATGCATTACATATTTTATTTCCAAAGAATGAGGAATGAGAATGCATTCGTTTTATGTCGGAATGTGAATGGAAACAAATGTAATTCTGAAAAAAAAAATGTTCGTTTGAAAAAAAAAAATTATTATTTTTAAGTATAGTCTTAGCCAAAATTTGAAAACTTTAATGTCCTGGTTATAGTCAGTGGTCGCATTTGGGACTATCTTTACCTCTACCTGCATATCTGCAGTGTTGATTTTAGCCCGTTATAATTACATTTAAAACATGAACAAACAAGGAAGTACAATAATTGTCTATTTTAATCAGAAGCAAATAAGTAGTAACTCCAATATTGGACATAGATACCTCTAAGTGGCTCTACTAAAGGCATATTATTACAAAATCAATTTATATGGTTTAGCTACGGCTATTCATATGTATATCCTTATGATAATAATTTGATAATAAAATATAATATTTAAAAATACCTAGTTTAGGACGAGAGTATGATTTTTTTTACCGGCTACAAATTATTGTTCTGTATGAGCCAAGTTACTTGTTTAAGAATAACAACTGTATATACATTGAGAAACAATAAAAATAATAAATCTTTTTTTTTTCTATTTCAATAATCATGTTTTACTGTGTTTTGTTATGAATATAAAAAGCCATTCATTAAAAATGCAAATGTTTCTACTTATAGGTTATATATAATATTTTATATAAAAAGTAGATAATAGCTATAATTGTGGATTACCATTCAACATTTTTACAGTATTTTATTGAAATAGACGATAGAAAATTCAATAAAAATAAATTACATTGTTTGTTAGTAATAGTTAATTACAACAAATTGGTTGTACTTGTAATTAATAGTTGCTCTGAGATTTTTTTTTTCTTTGGTGGATGGGACGGTGTTTTTTTTAACTATCCAAGTTTCTTCCACGTCCAAGTGCTATCCAAGTGCTTCAATAAAATAATTAAGGACTCGGCGACACCGGTTACAATATTTCTGTGCCCGTCCGCGGTCGCCGCCGGTCCCTGCGGGCCGCACCCTACACGCCGGTTTCGCGCATGCGCGCCCCTGTCCCGTGTTTTTTTTTTTTTTCATTATAATAATAGATGTGGCATGGCGGGGCTTAAGGGCACAGCTGCTGCTGCTCGTGCAGTGAAAAATAGGTATGTACGCTGCGCTGCGATAAAAACGGTCCGTCGACGGCGCACAAACACAGTCATAGCAACCGCGGTCGGTCTGCGTTCCGTGTGTGTGTTGCGTATATGGTTCGGTTCGGTTCGGGATCGAGGCGTCGAGTACGCTCGTAGTGTGCTGTGTGTGTGTATAGGTGCGCGAGCGCGTGTAGTCTTATACAGTGCTATTTTTTTTTTTTTTTAATATTAATTTTGTTGCATATTATTATTTGAATTAAAAAGTCCTACGCGAATTATTATAATATTTCGAATAATTTAACCGTGTCCGAAATAGTGCGTAATGACGAGTGAACACTACTAGGTCGACGGACAATAAATAGTTGAATTTTTGAATCGTTTGAAAAAAAAAATAATAATAATAATACTAGGTATGACTTTGAACTCTGCTAGTCCGGACATGGCCGACGTCAAGTACCGGACGGACGACGCGTCCAACAACAACGTGACGGAAAAGACTTATATGTTCTCGAAAAAGCCAGAAGTGGATTTATCGTTCGAGGACCTTTCTTACAGCGTCTCGTATTTCAGCAAGTTCAAAAAAGGTGAGTCCACTTTGACGCGTGTCCTGTAGAAAATTAAAATCAGTATAGTACTCACTCCCGTAGATTTTATGTAATAATATTATGTATAGCATAAGGATTAAGGTGTCTATGAATTAACACCAATAATAGCTAAAAGAGCTGTGTTGTCGACTGTGGCAACGGCTTTAGCAAAATATAACAATAATATCACCACGGCGTTGCAACAACAGCAGAGCTGATAACGCTTTTGCCGAGATAAGGCTATCTCGATAGTATTATTATTTTGCCGTTTCTGCGGTCTTTGATTTTGCCAATGAGATTTGCTCGTTTTATCATCAAACACAATGTTATTATTACAATTAATTTATGCTAAACATACCTTTATCGGAAAATGTAGAATTTCATCACCAATATTATTGAAAAAAAAAATCTAATTTAAAACAACAGTTGGGTTCCGATTTTTTAGGGTTGGAGTTTCGACATAGGAATTAAGTTGTTATATGTTCAAAAATAACTAATTACTTTAAACATGAGACCTTAACAAACCATGGACGCCAACATGAGATCAGGTTACTTTTAACATCCAAATATTTTAATGAAGATAATTGAACATCGTTAATGTCAACTTGTGTGAAAGCGGAGAAATTTTTTTTAAGTTTGACACCAGAAAACAATTAAATGCCCGATCTTGGGTTGTTTATTATAAAGATAGGCATGTGTAACAAGATACACAAATTTTATGATTAAACTTAACCTACCCACTTGAGATACAAATTATGGAATGCGGTTCAGTGTTGGATAACAATTTTCATTATTAATTTTAATTAATCAGAATAGCAAGAATAAAAAATATATAGGATCCGTAAATTAACAAGGTTATTCTATGGTCTGTCCCAGATTGGCTGGCCTCACTCATTCGCAATTTCTAGATCTATGCAAATGTTGAATTGCATATTTTACAATGCCAATATTACGAATTTATTAATAATTTAGATAAACAATCAAATTAACACGATTGGATACCGTTTAATATTACGTCGGCCCCGTGCACATGGTGTAACAAGTGGCCAAGTGTAAAAAGTATTTTTTTATTACTCATTATGAAATCTAAAAAAACCACATACTTTTTATAGGAAAAAATGCCATAAATGTGGGATTGCCTGGGTTTAAATCACGATATTAATTCTATTGTTTAAATTCAAACCATAATTGTGCCATCATTATAATATAAATAATAAAGTTTAACCACGATTTAGCATTTTTTAAATTTTTATTAGCTTTCACTATAAAAGGTATTACAACTCGACAATTATAGATATTATTACAATATTGATGTTCTTAATAAAATAAAAAGAGAAAATACAATAATTTAACTGAATACAAACGTAAAACAGCTAGTATTAATAATAAAAGAAAAATATACGTATGACAATATGAAAAAAAATATAAATGTAAAAAAAAAAGACACTTCTTAGATAACGAGTGGTTTATGATTATGTAGACTGGCAAATAATACCTGCAGAATGGAAGTTAGAATTAAAACAATAAAAACAAACCCAATAAAAAGTGCTTTTAGAATAGACACAATGATCGTAAATTAAACAACATTTTGGTTTTAAGTTGATTGTTTAAGTAAATACCTTAGGTATGAGGTTAACAATTTACGATGTTCTATTGAATAAAAAAAAAACGGTAATCCTATACCTAGATAATAATAATAACTTATTTTAATAATAGTCGAACAATAATGTTAACGGCATAACTATTGATTCAGTTTCTTAATTAGCTCAAGTCGAAATTGAATTAACTTTTGTGTAAACTTTTAAAAAAAATATATTTTTTTTTAACAAATTAGTACAGTTTTAGCATTTTACCAAGTGCGCAATTACCACTTAAAGCTCTTTACCGATTGATCGTAGATCTCGATTAATCTTGTTATTAAATCAAATTGATTATTTAATAAAACTGGCAATAGGTGATTATGATAAATCCTCGGAACTACCAATTTATAACTAGTCTACAATTGTTTATGAATAAAAATTAAATAGATAATATTTCGTAAACTATAAGTCGTAACCTTTAGTTATGCGTTTTATTATAGTACATCGACTGAGTCATGTTATTTATAGTGTTAAAATATTGATTCTAGTTTGACTTGTATGGAAATTCAAAGAAAGACATACATGGTCAAAGTGTCATGTTAATTTTTTTTTTTGGTAATAATGATTCTATACGGTTGTATTTGTAAAACTTTTTCTCTGTGCTTTATTGATATACAAATGGTTTGTTTCATTGTTTATGTATTCGAATAGCTATTTATCTTAATCGTTTTAGTACTATAAAATATGTATAAGGGAAGCATAACGCACTATTTTTCCATGCAAAAATTGTGTATTGTGAAGTACACGTTCCAGAAAACTGGGCTATTTTAGAACAATAATATGTGTTTTTTTTTAAAGTTTTCTAAGCAAATTACTTAAACGTTCAGTCATAATATGTTTGCACATATATTAATGTTGAGTTAATGTCACTGTTTTTTTTGTGCAAAGCATTGTACATTAAAACTGCCAAGTTTCTTTAAGTTATGTTTTTATGGACAAATACCTAAATACCTTTACATTCCTATCACACCTTATGGCTCATTGATAGGTAGCTATAATTATTATTGTCGTCTGGTCTTGTTAGATTTTATTTTTTAGATAATGACATTCGATTAAAATAAGCTTCACTCGGCTAGTAGTACGATACTAAATATAAACACACCTTTCTCCTATTTCTTCGTCCAAGAGGAGTAAATACCTTGTCTGACTCATCATTTGGCTTTTAACTGTCAAACGACCGCACTCAAGGTTGGATGGGACTGATTATAATCCCATGTCTTTTTTATCAATAACAAGGGGAAATGAAAAATACATTATTTCACCCTCTTCATATTTTAGTTTATGTTATAAGCGTTACTTTTTATGTCTTTATAGTATGTAATTACTTCATTAATTTTCATTTAAGACTAGCTGCAAAATGTATTCTTAAAATCCTATTACTGTGTATTACTACAATGTTCCTCTTTTTAATAATTTGTCTTTTTATTAGTTACCAGCTAAATAACATCTTAAATAAATATTTACAAAGTTGTACTGTACAACCATTGAGGTTAACTAAATCCACCATTAACCGACGAATAATGTTTATTCTGGCTAGGAATAATATCAATTAAAAAGCTTTTTAGATAGTTACATTGTAATTCTATCAATATACGTATTAAATATAGGCATTTAAGATATTAACGAGCTCATAAAGTGTATTATATTGAATTTTATAAAAATGATTTGTGGTTTGTATTTGGAATGTATATTGGATACGAACTTGGAAGTCAAATGTAACTATTGTTACCCATAAACACTAATTTTTCATAATATATAGCGACAAGTATAATTGTTAAGATCCAAATTCCATAGAATGTTAGTCAACATATTTTTATTAAATTCCTAAAAATGCGCTTGTTTACTTAATTATAATAACATATAAACATTACACTTTTCTAGTTCCCAGAATTTATTTCATCGTTTTATATTCAGTGTAGTACAAGGTCAATAATTATTTGAACATTGCCCATCGATCATACATACACTTAAATTTACAACATTAAATGAAATGTGAATATATGGGTTTTACCTACTTAAATTTGTTTTTTATGCAAAACCAGCTATTTGTATTATTGTAATAAGAATATAATTTTAATTCTGACGAGAATTTGTTTATAATTGGAGCTTATAACATTTTATTTTTAAATCATGTTATTGTTTTTATAAATTAGCATTAAATGAAATGTAAATTTATGGTTTTTACCTACTTAAATTTGTTTTTTTTATGCAAAACCAGTTATTTGTATTATTGTATGTAGAATATAATTTTAATTCTGGCGAGAATTTGTTTATAATTGGTGCTTATAATATTTTATTTTTAAATCGTGTTATTGTTTTTATAAATTAGCTATCATAATTATAGTCTAAATAACTGTACTGCGTTTTCATTTTGTAATATATTCTCTATGTCCAATGAATGCATGTGGTGTAATTATAAGCTGTTCGACACAAAACAAAAACAGTTGGTCTATACATTTAATTAGGTACTGTAGTTGTTGGAAACTTCTATTATCATTAACACATCTAGATAATACCTATGTGCATCTTACGACTTATGTGTCTAATTGTAATCATTTTAATTGTAATTAGAAGCTTTTATAGTTTATAACAGGTTATTTCATATCGATTTGTTAGCTTCGGTGTGTGCTTTATTTTATTGCGAAACAGCTGTTTTCTCTCATAGTATTATGTGTATATATTAATAAACATGATTAATTATTATTGTGTTCTAGACAATAAATATTAAGTTTGTTATAGATTTGATCAATCAAACGAGGTCATGGTAATATTTGATGCGAATATTATTTCGATTGCAAATAGTAAATTGATTTTAATTATCAATCCAATGGTACAGCATCTCAATTTCCATTTCTTCCTTTGTACTATTTTTTTGTTGCAGTTATTAATTAATGGGATTGACTGGCCATCAATTTGGTTAAATACTAAATGTTATACTAAAGTTACCGGGCGTTTATTTATTGTGTGTATACAATAAATCTCTCAATTCTGTAAACAACTGGTAATCCAGAACACTAATTGCGCCAGTACAACTTGCACTTACACCGTGTACGGTGTTTTTCGGAAGTTAATTTATTGTAGTCTAATATTTTTTTTATCACCTTAAAGTAATCATGTAAAAGTCGTTTATGGAAACAGTGCAAATTATGATTAATGTCAGTCTAATGACATAATTATTTAGAGTCAAATGGATTACGTTTTAGTCATGTTGTTTTTTCGACTATTATAATATTACATCCTTAATTACTTACTTTGCGGTTCTGTAATGTTTTAGAGTAGTAGAATGCATTTTTCTAATTGATGTTTGCAAATTGCAATTAGTTGATAACAAATTAGACAATACTAACAAACAACAATAAC